ATGTTGTTTGGATACTTGTGGTTTGCCGCTTGCTGTTTGTTGCCTGCTGCTGGCTGTTTGTTTTTATTTATTCTTTTTTAAAGACTATTCATTATAAGATATCTAATTGAATAAATATCTTTTGGCGCTTGGTCTTCTTTCATATTCTTCTTTGGTGGATTGTCCGTAATGTATTTCTTTTTTGAAATGGGTGACCATTGGATTCTTTGGGGGAAACCGATTATGACTTATTTCATCAAATATCAATTATTAATATCTAGATCGAACTATATATTATTTACCATTTTACGTTGAATAATACAATTATTTCTTTAATTTTAGAATATTCTCGCCAAACAAACGATTTATTTGAACATGCTTAATACTTTGGAAAAATTGATAAATTTCGTTTCCGAGATTCATCAACATAGATTTTTATATTTCCCCAAACAGTTTACTGTTGGGGATCTATCTTAGAAAAAAAGAGTTGGCCACACTCACTGGCCGCGCCCCTGAACTCTGTGGCTGGGCTCTGTGTCCAGGCCTTGTCCTCCTCTTGTCCTCTGTGGCTGGGCTCTGTTCTGTGTCCAGGCCTTGTCCTCCTCTTGTCCTCTGTGGCTGGGCCTTGTCCTCTTCTTGTCCTCCTCTTGTCCTTGTCTTGGCCGCGCCCCTGAATTCTGTGGCTGGTCTCTGTGGCCCGGCTTACTGGAGAGGAATGTGGCCGAACAAATAGCGATGTCAATGCCGACAAAAATTCATTGATGAAGCAGTTTGCTCTTGGGGTGAAGGTAGGGCGTACCAAGAAATTGATCTTTGACTATTATTGGTCTAAACGAATCGTTTTGAAGCTGTTTGGGGTCTATGCTTGTATAATTATTCTATTTATAGATGTCTCAAAATACGAAGAATAAAGATCCTTAATGGAAAATGAGAATGATTTTAAAAAAACACAATTTTTTAATATTTTTTGAAATGTAGAAAATCGAATTTCTATTTCGTTCCAAAAATCGGAGACAATCCTTCAACCCAGAAATGATGGCCTCCAAACTAATGGCGATAGCTTCCAACTTATTAACGATGACCGACAATTTAATAACGATGGCTTCCAACCTACCAACGATAACCTCCAACCTACTAGCGATCACCTCCAATATGGAACCCAGATTTTGCAGCAATTTGTGGGACCATATCGTTTTAGCAATTTGATCTTATTAATTTCACCTAGTCCCTTTCTAACCTTAAGAGTAAAAATCCATCTAGAAAGAGATCCGGGCTTTCTTTTTCAACCTATAGATATGCCATTATTTGGTTGTGGCTTCTAAGCTGTTCCCTCCCGGATGCTTGCAACTACCGAAATCAAAGTGCTTGCGGAGAATTGACGGAACAGATACTTATACATCTAGCGTTGTGTATGGGGACATTTTAAATGCCTGACGTGTGCGTGGTAGAAAAATTGCGGCGGTTTTATACCTTGGTGCTTTGCCTTTCCAATTCTTAAAATCATTTCCATATAAATAATACAATTCATCATATATAAAATTCATAATATATCCAATTCCCCGAAGGCCTAGTCAATTTTTTGCTTACGATAGCATGCGTGCACTATTTTAACTTAAGGTGTTCGCGCGAACAACTTGCTCCCATTATTATTTATAGGCAGGACCTCTAGTCCATAGCTGCAAAGCGCTTTAATCCCTTTCTTTGCATTGTTCTATTGGCGAATAAACCACATTCTTTTACAGATTAAATTTGTAGATATTAAATTTTCAATCTTTATCTTTTTCTTCTTTCTTTAAATCAAAATTGTTTTCTAATTCTTAAATTATCATATGTCCTCAATGCCATCGAAGAAGCGGCTTCAATTCTTTTTAATTTACCCTCCATTTATGCATCAGATTTCCCACCTCTAGCAGATATCGCAAAAATTCGCAGTATTTAGTCCCAAAAAGAAGCCGAAGCCAAGTGCTTCTTCCAGCATAGTGCCTCGCGTCGATATGCACCTCCGGTCTGAAGCCTGCCTCCTGCAAAGGATCCACGTGCATTACCAAGATTCTGCAATCCCTGCCTGAAGAGCCTTTTTATTAAATACAGGCCCGCCCTGAAATGAGACCTTGCATCACTCATAAAAGAATCGACTATTTCAATGCCTTTGTGAATAATTTGAATAGCAAAGGCAAAATCATGCCGGCCGTTGCGAATTGACGCCGGCTTAATCATCGTCTTGCAAATCGCAAGCCATAAAGATCCTATAGACGCGCATTTCGTCAAATTTCGAACTTCTAATAAATTAGATGATAAAGATATATTCTCTTGTGGAGCTGCAAATTTTTGCATATTCTGCCATTGTCGAAAAAATTTAGTTTTATGCATTTCAATATAAGCAAACCCTTATATACACCATTTTATTTGATCCATTTGAGGCTGCTCCTCCTGCTGACCTTACGGACCTCATCTTCTGAGCCGAATTTGACCTTGATGGTTGGCATTTGATTGGGATATTCATGGGTCAGATTTAACGATTTCGCGAAAAATTCGAAACTGCTAACATCCTGGGGGGTCATATGGAAGAAACGGATGAATGAGTTCGACCGCTGCCCAGGACCAATGCCGGTCAAGAACCTGAATTGGATTGATTTTTGAATCAGGCACCCGCAAACTTTTGGATGCTTTGGTCATGCAGATTCGCATTGCCGCGGCTCCCCCTGAAAATTCGTTGTCAAAAGAATTCCTTTATCTGCTAGACCAATCAAAGATCAACATGAAAATTATATAAAAAATTTCTTGACAATCAATTTAATAGATATATATATATATGCAACAACTATTAAAATCAAGAATTATATATGTTGGTTATTTAATCTAGCAATTTATCGATCGTGGAATCCGCCGATGCTCTTTGGCATTGCCATCTCCATGGCATCAACCTTCGTTATCCTGACCCGTGGACCAGCCGTGGCACAATGGATTGCCGAGCCTCTTCGGGCCTTTTAATCTATTTATCAAAATTTATCGTTTAAACTATCCCTCCAGAAGCGTGTTTTTTAGTAACCAATTTCACCTTATTAATATTTTTTTCTTATTATTAATATATTTACGAGATATTAAATCTCCCAATACTTCCAATTTGGCTTTCGACCTAATTGAAACCAAAGGATGCTCCAATAATACGGATCTATTCCACTGGATATCCGCATATGTAAAATTGCTCACGACCTTATTAAAGATCAGATAGATTTATTTCCTCATATTAAATTATATGAAGATTTTAAATGTTCCTATATCCTCCTTTTCGGAATATTATATTAACCTCCGAAAAGGGGCAAAAGAAATGCGATTCATTTATAAAATAAATATATCCACATCAATATTTCAAAATTTATATTATATATAAAAATATTATAAAAATATATTTCCAAATTCATAAAAATTAATAATAATCAAATATATTTTCTTAATATATCATATCTTCCCAATCAAAACCAATTTCCTTAATTAATTTTTTAATAATATTAATATAGCTATTTATAATATAAAAACACAAATTACGATCATATATTCTTCGAATAAATAAAATTAAAACATTAATTACAAAACAAATATATCATTCTACAACGACATCAATATTCAAATTTCAACAATTTCATATCTAAAAATATAATCATATATCAAATTTATAATATCATTACAAAAATATCATTTATTTTAGACATATAATATATTATCTTCTGCTATATTACATTGTACTATATATGGATATCTTTCAACTAAAACAATCATAATTATACATTAACAATACTATTATTCCATATTTTAAACATATGATTTATTGCAATATTCCTTTTCTATTTTTCAATATTGTTTATATATATATATAAATATACATACATCAATCATATATTAACATTAGATTCTTGTTCAATATAGAGTACTATTTTATTTAAACATATAATAGATTTAAAAAATACATAATATTCATCAATAGTATCAATACAGAAAAATTACTGATGGACATTAATGTTTACCCTAATTGTCATTATTAGTGCTTGAAGGGTATGTCGGCCCACTATGCCAGCGGAAATGCTCTCGATCCAGAGACGTCGCAGAGAGGAGTTCAACCCGTGGGGTGGGGGAGGCCCCGTACATATAAAGTTTTCACGCGATGCGGAGCTTTTGAGGATTTCAGCCCCTCACTTGCTAAAGCGAGAGCAACTCCAGCTGGCTGGTAGCTTTTGTGATACAGTGCAACAATATAGATTTTTAATTACATTGAAAAGTATATATATATATTCCTTTTTCGCCAATCAGTTTACTGTTGGGATTCTATCTAAGATACTTAGAAAAATAGAGCTGGCCACACTGACTGGCCGCGCCCCTGAACTCTCTGGCCGGGCTCTGTGGCCCGATGCTCCTTTTGTCTTCTCTTGTTTTGGTGTTGGCCTCCGGCTTCGCCGACCAGCCCTGGCCACACTGACTGCCCGCACCCCTGAACTCTGTGGCTGAGTGTTTAGAATGTTGAGTGATGTCCAACCGGACGCCCGCGAAAGACGCGGGTTCGCGTAGGGGCCCTTCTCATACTGTTGATAGATGAGGCGTCCGATAATGTGCCAGTGAGACGCATTGGACACTGTCAATTTTTCATGAAAATGGTCAACAGCTGGAGAGGAGTGTGGCCACACAAACAGCGATGTCGATGCCGACAACAATCATTGATGAAGCACTTCGCTCTTGGGGCGGAAGGCAGGGCGTGCCAAGAAATCGTTTTTGACCAACATGTGGTCAAAACGAATCGTTTTGAAACTGTTTGGGGTCTATGCTAGTATAGTTAATGATAAGATTTCATAATTAGAAACTAGAAATAACAAAAGCAAAGCACCTGTGAACAACTTTAAGCAACTGAGAGTTCTTTGGGGGGCGGACGGGCCATTCAAAGTGTAAGGGGTCCTCAACCAAGAAACCAACCACAGGATTCTCCACTTGTTTCCAGTCGTCGCGGACGTGGGCTTACAGGGATTTCCTCAACAGGATTTGATACTTCGCGAAGGCTTAGAACAAAAGGAACGCGTGCACATTGTACACATCGAAAAACACACCCTTGAATGAACTTTGCCTTCTTGCAGGCGCGCAATGGTCTTACAGTGAAAACGTGCAGTCGCCTCAATTTTGACTACATTATTTTGTCCACAGCTTTTTTTGCTCTCCCTCACCTGGTTCTGGTTCACCCTACCTCACCCAAAACTCACTTCGATCGCCCATCAAGCACTCCAGCCTAGCCTATCGGCTGGCTTTCGTAGTGTTATGTTATGTAGCTGAAATATATCTAACATTATCTAACATTCATGTATTTCAATCTGTTATTACCGTCGGGTCCTATATTGGTCAGTTGGTTCGTCGCCAGTGGCCAAATCAAGCTCGTCACCAATGCCGTTGTTGAACATAACGACGTGCAAACCTTTTCTTTCGGCTTCAGGCACTGACTGCCAGGGGCACGGGCAAGGCGCAAACGTGTGTGTGTGTGTGTGGTGGTTCTCTTGTCTACATAGTTTGAATGAGCGCATCCATGGAAACTGTCCTTAAAACAATATCGGAGCCTTCTCCAACGTTCCGCCCCAAAATAACCCAAGCAGTCTTGAAACCACCTTCATGCGACCCAACATGTCATGAGGGGTCTTTCTAGTTTCGAAGTGTTAGTTCGGTTTCTGTCAGGACAAGGCCTGGAAGCACTTGACCATCCAAAGCCAAGTGTCTCTGGGAGGTTCAGGACACAACATTTTGTTCACCTCCGACTCTTCATCCATGCCATCGAAGTCATACTGTCTATAATCCACTTTTGCAACTTCCCTGACCCATTCCTGCTGACAAAGCAAGGCCCAAAAAGCGAATGCATGTGTTAGTGGGCATCGTGCACTTGAAGCTTAAACCTGCATCTGGTCAGTCCTCGAAATCTGCATTGACCATGCTCACAGCCCCGTCACCACTTAGGGACTTGAAAAGATCCTTCTCAACCCTTGTCTTTCCAAGCGCATCAATGACAGCTGACAGCCCATGCTTAAATCCATAGCTGGGGTGATCTGTCAATGTTACGCAGCTCACAGCATGCTTTCGCATCCTGCGACAAAGATCCGTCAAAGCATTGATGCAAGGCCCTGTCTGCTGCTCCAAGAAATCCTGGCAAAACAAGGCCATTTAACTTCTCTGATTTGCATACGGGCTACCTCTTCAGCCCTAGGATGGCCTAGCACCCTTTTCCTAATTGTTAGATTGGTACTTGCTACTGTCGCAATGCCTAAATGTAACCACAACATTGTAAATCTATATTATGTAAATATATATATATATAACTATATAAATGCAATCTGCTGCCTACAGCTTGCAACCATCTGCAACAATAGGATGTGCAAAAGCAGATCGAGCTCACAGTCGTGCTGCGCTAGTAGAAGAACATGCACATCATTTGGTTCGGGCGGCCCCCAGGCCCACTTTGTGCCTTTAATAAACTCTTATGCGGAAAGCCACATTTTACGAAGTTAACCCATGCTGACACAGCTGCTTCCGCTTATATAAAACCTCCTGTCTCTTGCAAGCTTGGGGAATGACAGCTGCAGCGTGCTTGGCAAAAAACACCAAAACACAAAAAGCTTGATCTGTGGGGACCAGCTCTGAGTGTCCTCCAGGGTTGCTGCGGGCTTCCAACCCAAAGGCGGTGGTGGAGGCCCAGGCTCAATCGGCACTTTTTCAGCCTGCACTTTGAAGATTTGTAACCATCCATTGTCAGTGATTCATGTTGATAGCAAGCACGCACACTAACTTTGCAGCCGGGTCCATGTCTATGTGATGGGCCGTCCTTCTGCCTGCTTGGTTTCTTCAAAGGCTTGGCTTTTGCCTGCAAGCTCTGCTTCAAAGAAAAACTATTTGTTTCTTTGGATTCCCTCCAATCTGCCATTGCTTCCCCGATGCCTGCACACAAAGTGGGAGCTCGCAATGCTTAAAGGGCAATCGAGGCCTTCATGGTATCAAAGTATACTTTGGCCGCTCAGCATCAACACACTTTTGTACACCATTGTGCATCTATCTTCTTGCACTGGTTTTGCACGGTTTCTGAATTTGTATGTGCAGCTTCCCTTGACAAATTAGATGCTCACGATGCTGAACAGGCAATCCGTCCACGTCAGAAGCAGCAACCTTCACAACCAACGCTGCTTGCAGAAAATAATGTTCATCGCTATAGGGTCTTACTTACATTCACATCACGCTACAGTAAATCATCCGCAAACCCTCCGTTGGTGAGTGGCAGCGTTGGCTTTAGGAGTCAAATTGACGTGCCCATCTTTGAGGCCTTGGTGCTGCTTGGCTTCTTTGCAGGCTTGGCTTTGACCTGCCAACTCTTCTTCAAGAAAGGTGGAGCGAATTCTTCAAACAACGCAGTAGTTACTAGTTGGATAGCTTAGGCTTAGACACTTTCACACATGTTACTATTCAGCGATCGAATGGCAGGGACGCCTTAGCAGCTGCTTTGACCATGCCAATTTCGCACAAATATCTATCCAGTGCGCTACTCGCTAGGAACTAGCACAGGCATCATGTCAGCTTTGCTTCCAAAGGGCTTGAGCTGCATGATGTTTATTGTGTTGCATGAAACGTGTGACGTCTTCCACTGACCAAGAGCTGAAACAAAGCGGTCGAGAGATGCACTTTCAAAGAGTCTCAATCAACGAGTTATAAGAAATGACACCTCAGGCGGCACTGGTTTAGTCTGATTCGGTAACCAAACGGTATGATTTGGTAACTAAGATTCGGTAACCACAAGCGCTGATTCAGCAACCAAAAGCTTTGATTCGGTATATAACCTGATTCGGTAATCAAAGCCGGCGATTGGGTGAAGACCCACACCAAAGGCACAAACGGGAACCAACACCGCGGGTAAGGCTAAGGAGCAAAATCTTTCGGTCACTAGGTAGCCCTCCGCCCCATTCCAGCCATATGCTGCAAATATAAAAATATTCTTAGTTGAATGAATTTCCAAACCCTTTGCAACCACATGGAACGTTATTTTCTTGGCTTTCTGAATTGGCTGTTTTGGTTTCTGAACCGTCTGGAGTAGAGATACAAAAACATGAGTATATATATATATATGGAAAACATGGAGCATCGCCAGCGTCGCATCCGTTTTCCATGGAGCTTCTGCTCGATGACTGCAAGTGCACCTTCTCAGAGATTCGGCTGTAAAGGCTTCACCTGCCGATGGAGTGGAGATGGGCTGGGGCTGAGATAGGACATCAACTCAGATGCAAAACCATGATACCAGTACCATAGTGATCACATCACAAATAACATGTGATAACTCTCCGAGTGGGATGGAGTGACTCAGTGCGATGGTAAGTGGGACTCCGTGTCCTTTCTGCGGCCCCTGTTTCACCGCGCGCTGTTTCCGGTACCTACTAGGTCTGGCTGTTCGACCAAGACTATAAACTGGTTGGAGCAGGACATGGGTTCTCCAAACGCGACACAGTAGATTGTCTCTACTGTGAGGGTTACAGACAACGCGTAGCATCCTGTCAGCCCAATGCTGTCTATACAGGTTGAAATGTGCTCACTTGAGGCCCTTCTTTGCAAAAACTCCACCAATTCGGGTCTCATGAGTCAGTCCTTCTTCCTACCTATTTCAATTGATTTCCTCAACATAGAGGGCGCAAGCATCAGCACATGGACATATTCACAGGTGTGGGCCGTATGGAACTCTCCAAGGCACTAATTAAGTAGGAGCCCCCACTCAGCTGCTTGCAAGTGGGTGACCCGAAGACATACATTCATTCTCTGTCGAGCATGTTGCGGGACACTTGCTTAGTGTGTCCTCAGAGTAGTTCATTACAGGATATCCTCAGCTCAAGAAGCGTTCTAGCACTTTGGATCGTTCTGGCACTGAGCTCCCAAGGATTCACTCAAACCAAATTCAGCTCTGTCGCTCTCCACGACACGCTGCCGCATCTCTTTATTTCGGAACCGGAGGTTTGCAGATGCGACCTGGAAGCTGGCTGCTATCTTGGCCTTGGCCTAAACACGTGTGTGTGTGTGTGTCACACCCTGGTTCTAAGGGTTTCCACCTTTTCACCTTTCCACTACCACCGAGATCGTTCTAAATACTTTTTTTCCACTGATGTCATTTCATCAAAGGCAGGGGGGCAGAGAGGACTTGCAAGGCTCTGCCCAACGAAGCTCTTTGCAAGATCCTAGGCAGCGGAAGCTGATCACTTCCGTGTACCTGCTCGTTTTCTCGCAAGCTGTTACCCTACTCTTCCACGGTTTGATTCATGGTGGTTTTGCATGACATTTTTCAGCAACTTGTGCACTGCATTTCAGGCGCGTGAAAGAAACACGTGTTAAACAATACAAGTCACCGGACCCTTTCGCCTTGCCGTTCCCTCACCTTCCTTCCCATCGTGACAACTGAGTATAACTGAAAACCCAAGTTCGAAGTGTGACCCGCTCAGTCTTCCCACTCGGGTACTGGGTGTGATCCCCTTCAGTGGGGCGCCGACGCCATGCCGGAATTCATTGTTTCTCCACGTTTAAAACTGACTCCGCGGTTTCCATTTTATCCCTGAATTCCCTGATTTTCGAGCCGCCGGGCTATAAGCGACGGAATATCTACCCAAAGCTCAGACATTCATTCGTGTTGTGCATTGCTACGTTCCTCAACTTTAATTTTCCAACCGCAGCCGTTTGACCGACGATCAACGTACGCATGCTCACATCCCAGAGATTACACTGCATGCCGAACTTTCAACTTATTAATTTTTTTCACGGCACACGTACTCAGGTTCCAGAATTCACTGCCATCTTCAAATCTCTCACTTCCGCTGCTGTGCCGCGCCGGCGCCATTTCCCGCAGCTTCTTGGACTGGCTTCTCCACATGCAGTACCCCTGGCCGTATCCACACTGGCCACCACCGTGCACCGCACCCTCAATACCCACAGTCACCGCTCAGCCACCGCCATGGCATCACTCTCCACCAACGGCGCCTGTCCCTACCGTTTTGTCCCATCCACCACAGCAGACCTTTTTGCCCCACTTTCCGACCACTTCACCGCAACCGCCACCTCATGCGTGGCCACATCCCATGCCAACACATTCTCCACCAGTACCAACCTTTGTGACTCCCACACACGCATACCCCACACCACCTCAGATGCAGGCATTTGAGACCCTGCCAACACAGCCTCATCCGCCCTCTTTACCCCATGCACCACCAGCGCCATCAACTCCACCAGCTATCCAGGCACCATCGCCGCAACCACCGATCCAACATGTCCCCGTTCACTGGGACCAAACTCAAGGCGTCTGGCAGCCTTTCTCCCTCTTTCCCCCTGTGGCTCATCCTTCGCCGCATCCAACATCAGCCCCAACCACCACTGCTTCGGATGATCCAACACATACGCCACCCACACCTGGCGCTCACCACGTCCCCGCACCAGTCGATCCCACTCAGGGGACCTCCTCACCGGCCATCACTACTGCAACCACCGCACCAGTCACCCATACTACTCCGCCACCAGCCACCGCTCCACCATTGCCGCCACCCCCCACGGAAGCATCTTCAGCACCCACTCCGGGGCCTCACAAGCAGTCCCCTGCGCAACCTCTCACAGCAACACCACCCCCTCCTGCAAGAACTGGCCGCACCCATCATGGCAGAAGCCGCAGCAAACGGCGTCGCCGCCACCGCAGCCGCCGCACACGTGACAAACACCACCGCTCTCCTGCAGCCTCCACTGCCAAAGCGTCGTCGGCACGCCGTCGGCGTCGCCGTTCCCCATCAACCTCATATACCACATCTTCGGATAGCCGTTCCCGCAGCCGCTCCCATGCACCCATCACTCTCCGACCCAATCAACAGTCTACACCTCACAGCCAGCTCACGAACATGTCCCAAGCGGACTTTCCCAACATTCCAGCACTACGACGACCCCACCCACCTTGGAAACCACCTCCACCACATTTCAAGCAGCTTTCCCACAAAGAACAGATAGCATGGTGGCTTGATTTCCATGCTGCACAGTTGGCTGCAGAAAACAAACCACAACATCTATACATAGCACAACTTCTTGCTGACATCGGCTTCACCCTCGACGACTTGGCAGACTTCCGCCAACTCACACATGTGAATGATGCCACCAATACCTATGACACCTTTTCCTACCACTGCGTCAACATTCCCAGTCTGGTCGACAAGGCCACCCGCCCAATACCACCGCCTGCCACTCGTGCCACTTCCACTACCCCGGAAACAGTTCACATCAATGCCTGTCACACAGGCCCCCACGGCAACATCACTGCCATTCTGCAACAGGGCCGTCTCCTGCCCAGCACTCTCCACTTTGACGCCAACCCGGGCTTTTTCGCCCAAGCCACACGCATTGCTCACCAACAAATCCACGACAATTACGAACAGGCCCGCGTCCTACACAACACATGGAAGATGGCAAAAAACGTCCATTCTATCATGGTCCATCTCCTCGCCTGGGGCCGTGGGACAAAATTCACCAGCGGCGGCGAAGCCCAAGCCATGCATCTTTTGCAACAAGACCATGGCGCTGTTTGCCACTCCAAAGCCCGCTGCTGGGTGATTCACCCCATAACGCCATAGTCAAAGGACTGGCGTGGTCTATCAATGCAACACCTCCAGACCTTTGATGTTCCACCACATACCACCGGCTCACCTTTTTCAACCTCAATGCCACCTCCCAACACTTGAGAGAAGCCTATCCCTACGTTTCACACCAGCCACCCATTCCGGCTTGCAAAACAGCCGCGCTCCGGTTTTCGTGCCAGTGTGATACGATCCACCGTTTTACATCGTCGTGCAATAGTTTCACCTTTTCAACTGAACGCCAGTTTTTGCCGCTCCATTTTCCCTTCTGATCGAATTCTCATGCATGATCGCTTGGATTAGTTCCTAGGTATTTCAGGCTAGAGGACCAGTGCCACTGAACTTGACGAACTGTTTTTGTAGACCTTTGATTCCTTTTCGCATCAGGACCAGCTGTAGTCTTTTTTCAGGCTCTATTGATGTCTCTGTATACCCTGCAAAATTCGTGCTCAATAATTCATTTTCGTAATTCAATTGCATGCTCCGCTCGTATGCCCCTGCCGCTCATGCAGTTCCGATACTTGTGCTGCGCTATTCAATGCTCCAGCCGCCGCTTCGACGGCCGACCCCGACGCGGCTCTTCACGATGCAGCCTCATGCTGACCAAGTTCGCCTCATTCATCGAACTACTATTGCCCTCAGTCAGCTTCATCGCATACTCCAGCAAGCGACAGACATCCTGGCCAACCTGCACAGCCTCTACCTTGTTCACACACAGCAGGTCGACCCTCATTTTCATCGACCGTTTCCACATCTTCCTCCAGCTCCCCTCACAGCAGTTCCCATCCTTTCCCCCACTTCTTCTTGCGACTCGGCTCCTGCTGCCCCCATCAAACATGCACCACCGCAACCTCCTCCCTCACAAGCATCCTCGACCTGTTCCTCTTCGCCGCCACTACCACAACCCAAGCGAAAACGCGAGCCTCCACCACCCCTCAACGAAGATGCTGATTGGGATGCCTGGGATGGCGACGCAGACGTTCGCCTTGTGGAACTCAAAACAGATACCCGCCTCCGGCCAAACTGGAACTACGTTGCCCGTCGAGTAGGCTTCTCCATTGAGCAGTGCAAAGCACGTTGGGAAGAACTTCAAGAACCCCAACGCCAACACAAAGCAGTCAACCCACCACCCTCACCCACACCCACTTCACCCGCCAACACACCACCGGCTTCTCCTGTCCTGTCACCTCCCTCAGCAGCAGCGCTTCCACCACCGGCACCACCTTCAGCCCCGGATTTCTCCTACACACCTACCACACCTCCATCACCTGCACCAGCTCCCCCAGCCACGGCGGATGCTGCGCCAGCAACTATCAGCGAAGATAGTCCTCCAGACCCGGCAGCGGCTGATATCGGTATCTACTTTGTATAGTTTCTGTCTCACCCAGCTCTCTTCGGCGCGCCCCTAGCAAACAACTTCCGTGCATTGTCGAACCATTGAGTACTGACCCTTGCAGTTTTGATTCCGTCACATTTTTGAAATCAATTCATTTTTTCAGCCAAGTTCTCATTTTGTACAGCTGATTATCGCTTTCGGACAATTTTGTGTTCTTTGAGATTCGATCGTCAACTTACCTCATGTCACCGCAGCCATTTTCAACCTTTCGATTGCTTTGAGTGTACCGACGACTTTTCGGTCCCCATGGCCTCAGCTGACTTCCGACCACCTCGCACCTCGTGGTCACCTTCTACGGAGTCTTCAGCCGCCGAGACATATTTCCTCCCGGACAATCCTCCTCCACACTTGACTCCGTCACTCACACACCAACCAGAACTTCTTCTTATGCAAGGCCTTCTCGATTGCCTTGCCAACGTGGTTAACCAGCTCCTCAACCACCCCATGATCAACAGTCCCATACCAGACAACACCCTCTTCACCGACACTGATGCCTTCCGGCTGTACTTTCAATACCATGAGAGTGTTCCCGAGTTGGCCCGAATCGCCCTACGCCTGAAACGCGCCAGCCGACTACTTCAATTCATACCAGGCCCTCCGGGCCATCAAGGCAGCTACCGTGTCAACCCGTCAGCACATTTCCCACCGGACACCACTGATTTCCTGGCTGATGAAGTACGCATTTTCTGCCCACCTCCTCCTCGGCACCACCATCCTCGGCTCAATCGCCATCGTCAGCTGCCGCCTCCTGCTCCAGCAGCCAGAGACCGCTCCAGGTCCAGAGACAGCTCAGTATCCTAGCCACCAAGTGCACCTGCAATGAGCTGCCTTGTATATACGTTTCACACTCCCACTTGGACAGCAGCTGAATCAAAGATCGAGTGAAGGTTTTTGGCTCCTCAGGCATTTTCGGAACCTACACTACTCAATCGCAATTTCTGCTGACGGCTATCTTCCATCACATGTCATTTTTCCGC